GCAAGGATTGTTGAGTGAAAAAAAAATGAGGTTGCTTCATGAGTATGTATCTTACCCACAGCTCCATTTAAACTCTCCTTCGCAGTACACCCCAAAGGATTCAAGAATCACCGCAAGAAGAGCACATATTGTCTTTATTATCATCTATCCAAGAAAAAGGAGGACATATTATTTTGATTTTCCATCAGATGCTGCAAAATCAAATGGAATGGGGGAGCTAAAGAGTGGCTTACATATTGGACAAGCCCAAACTTAACTACCAAGTAGAACCATTCGCCAACGGGCCATGGGTTCAACATGTAATTCATCGGAAAAGGGTGGTTCACATGTCGTTCTTCGGATGCATTGCCTAAAAGTGGTGCATCAGAACCTGAACTGCCCTCCTTCTTCAGAAATTCAATCGTCCTATCCTCTCCACCTAGCATGAATAAGATTACATTATAAGGAAGGGCAGAGACATGGATGATAGCGTTGCAATGCTAGACAGTCGTGTACCTAAGCACGCAACTAGATACCGCCCGAAACAGTACATGGCAAATGCCTCGTATCCGTCTCGCAGAATCTCAATATCTACACCAATTGTTGGATTCACCAATGATATATACTGCAACAGTGGAATAAGAAACAAGAGTTAACGGCTGGATCGACCTCAACCAGCCAACAACACTGTGGCCGCACACTTGAACAAGACATGGCATAGCACCTTACCGACTCGATTGCATATATCGGCACCATCAGAACGACACCGACGAGGAACTTCTGCTCCTGGAAAAGAAGAAATGCAGCAGCGGTGAGTCCAAAAACAAATACAGCTCCAGCGACAATTCACCCTGCTGTATGGAAAATAAGAAATTCAACACCGACTGATCGCTAGCGACCAACAGAACAGACCTCTGGGTTCTTGTAGGCCGAGAGGTGGTTCAAGAGCAAGTAGATGGACAGCGAGACCGAGACGACGACGAAGAGCCCCGAGATGATGGTGGCCCAGACAGGCAGTGAGTAGGTCCGGAGCACCAGGAGCAATTTGTCGGCCAATTCAATTGCCATTGCCATCGGCCCTGTCTGTCCCGCCGCTTGTCTGTACTCAAGCTGATGCGCCCTCCTCTCTTGCGCTTTCGCCCGCACATTCGCGACCGGGATTCACCGTTCCAGGTTGCGGTTCATAGAGCATCATAATATCAGGAATTTGATCTTGGAAATGAAACAAACAATCCCAGTGATGCAGACTGATACTGAGGTCCGTTTGGGTGAGACCGAAAAAGCAGAGTGGGCTGCCCTGTTTTTGTCCCTTATATTCCTCCGCCCGCCTAATAATATTCGGCGGGATTCCTTGAGCTCCTGCAGGCAAGCAGAATTTTAAACGAGGCGGCAAGCGCTCCGCTAGATCGGAAGGGAGGAAAATAAATGAGCTCGTAATCGTGGAAAACGAGGCCGAATTGGCGTCGGAGGAACGCGGGTGGATCGGGCAATGCCCCGCGAATCCGGGGCGGGCGGCGACGGTCGAATCGGGCTCCATGGACGGGGCGGGGCGGGGGATGGGAGGGCGAGGGAGAAGGGGGAAGGGGCGCGTACCTCTGACGGAAGATCTGCGGTCCGCAGCCGGGCCGCCGTTGAGGGAGGGGTCGACGACGAGGATGAGAGGGTTAGGTGAGGTCAGGATAGATGAGACAAGAGGAGAGGAGAGGAGAGGAGAAGGTATTTTCTCTCATCAGACAGAGACGCGCCCACCCTAACAAAGCTAGGGTGGGACAGGGAGAGGGACAGAGCTAGGCGACCTGACAAGCATCCGCATCACACCACATGGTTTTTTTCCGTTCCTTCTATGGTTGTTTAACGTTCTTTTTTCATTTAAAAGGCGGATCAGTTCACAAACATCAAATGGGATGTCACGACGAGTAGCACAAGCTAGGTACATGACTGAACCAATCACTTGGGAATATCTCAATTGATCTACAGTTGTGCCTTCTAATTTTCGAATCCACAGGCTAGGATCATATGGTGTTGCAGAAGGTTTGCGGTCCGAATATCCAAATCGACTCAAAATCTTCTCAATATAGTGGGATTGCAAAAGTGTAATCCGTCCTCATTATCTCTTAATAGCTTGATGTTTAAGATAACATCAGCCACACCCAAGTCTTTCATCTCAAAGTTATGAGATAGAAAAAAGCATTGACCTCCTTAATGACTTTGAGGTGGGTCTCAAATATCAGTATGTCATCGACATACAGATAAAGTATAACTCCTTTGCCCCCACCATAGCGACAGTATACACATTTGTCAGCTTCATTAACAACAAAGCTAGCAGATGTCAAAGTGTTATTGAACTTCTCGTTCCATTGCTTAGGCACTTGTTTCAGGCCATACAAAGATTTCAATAGCTTGCACACCTTTCTTTCCCGACCATTTACTACAAAGCCATCTGGCTGTTGCACGTAAATTTCCTCGTCTAGCTCCACGTTAAGGAAAGCCGTCTTAACGTTCATCTGATGAACAGAAGACCATGCGAGGCGAGATTAACACTTGAATGGCTGTCAGTGTAGCCACAAATGAGTAAGTATCGAAGAAATCTTCTTCTCCCATTTGGGTATAACCCTTGGCCACAAGCCTAGCCTTGTACTTCTCAACAGTACCATCGAGCATAAGCTTTCTTTTGAACACCCACTTACATCCCAATGGTTGGCAACCATAAGGATGATCGGTGATCTCCCATGTCCCGTTAGCCAATATGGAATCCATCTATCTACGGACCGCATCCTTCTAGTAGTCAGCATCCGGAGATGCATAAGCTTCTGAAATGGAACTAGGAGTGTCATCATCCACAAGGTACACGGGGAAATCATCACCAAAAGACATTGCAGTCCTCTGTCTCTTGCTCATAACAGGAGCTTCCTCGCCATCATCCGTTGAACTTTCATCACTTTTGTGTTCATAATATTCCATCGGAATGGCAGGTCAAAGAGTCTCGTGAGATTCCAGTCTAAAAGTGCTTTGCACATCTCTAATGGGGAAAAATATCCTCAAAGAATGTAGTGTCTTTAGATTCCATGATCGTACCGACCTTCACATCGTGTACATCCGATTTCACCACTAGAAACATATAGCCAACGCTATGCGTGGCATAACCCAGAAAAACGCAGTCTTTGGTCCCAACTTACGCTTTTTGGTTATCGGCATGTTGACTTTCGTCAAACAGCTCCAAGTGCGCAAGTAAGAGAGTGTGGTTCTTTTCTTTTCTTATTGCTCATAGTGTAGTGCGCAAGGATTTGGATATGAGCGTGATGGCTGCGCACACGGAGAAACGAGGGGTGACTGAGTGCTGACATATAGGGGGGCAATGTAAAGACCGGTTTGTAGATGCTTTGAGCTGAATCAATCGTAGCTTGTAACCGACGACTGTGTGAAAGATGGGTCGGAAAGAGACTCAACGCCAACCCTAAAATGTTGTTATACCCTACCGCCATGGTTCCTGGCGGTAGCAAAAGGGTCAGATCTCGAAAAAAATTCAAACTAGGGTCATATTTCGAATAGGTTTCAAAAATGGGTCAAAACACGAAATTTAGCCGGGGTTGGTGGGTTGGTTGGTCAGGCTGAGGAGTGACACTTCAATCGAATTACTAATCCAGTTAATCCACCTTTTCTTTTCCAGATCTTTGCAAGGAAATTCGAATCTCTGGCAAGTTCACAAACCACCATCTGCTACCACCCACACATCTGGACGTTCACCACCGTTCACATCTGCATGTTGGCTTCTTCGGATCACACCCCTTCCATTCAAATTTTCTAAGGCAGGCATGCAAGGGAAGGGAATCAACGGAGAACGCTGCAAACATGCCCACTGCAAACATGCCCACATGTCTCAGGTTCCTGCTACTACAAGGTCACTGCAAGTCAAAGTGACACCACCAATAAGTCCATCCACAAGGGAGAAAAAAAACGTTCACAAATCTAGGACCACTTTGTACTACTAGCTAGCACTGCCAACCTGCCCGGACAAGCCATCCATGCCAAATTTGAATTTGAATTTGAATTCGAATTCCAACGGTAACCGGTAGAGATTTTGCTGCCAGGGCACATTGTGAGGGGCTGTTAATTTTCCTTGGCATTCCAGATCTTGCAATAGTAGAATCATATCTACAGGCTTGGCAGGTACTACACGAATTACAATGCCTTGCTAGTTACTACTACCAGTACAAGTTTTCCCAAAGTCAAAAGCAAGGGCAAGTACACTGCAAACATGCCCAGATTCCTCCTACTTACTGCTAGTCAAAGTTCAAAATTCTGAGACAAGCTCCCCATGCTAAATTTGAATTCAAACCCAAATTTGAATTCTGGGACCATTATTTGCAGACTTTGCTACCAGGAAATTCAAAGATGCTGAACAGGGAGTTCAAATTTGGCATCAAATAGTACTGCTTACGTACAAGTTTTCCCACAAGTCAAACAAGTTCACACATCCATCTTCACTTCAGATCTTCCCTCCCCCTTTCATTTAAATTTTCAGTACAACTCAGCCACATGTTTCAGGTTCCTCCTACTCTACATCCATCTTCACATCAAGTCAAATTTCAAATTCTGGGGCCCAAGAATACTTGCTACCAGGACAAGATCAATAATCAAAGATGCTCAACAGGACATATACTGAACAGGAAATTCAATTAATGTTTATTTGCAAGTTGTTTTGCAGGTAGGTGTCATCATCGCACAACAAATCCAAGAATTAAATACACAAACACATTCCAACACATGTAATTGGAACCCATCAACAGACACACACAAACTCAACTCAACTCGGACCGGATCGATGTTAAGTTATACCGAGAGAGCAGTAGCAGTAAAAACGCACGCGACACGGCCAACAGCGAACGTTGGTCTCCCTTCTTCCTTGGTGTAAATCTCATCAGAACAGAGCACCTCAATGTACACCACCACCTCTTCCTCTTCTTTAGCTCGCCATCTTTTTAGCAGTTGTCACAGACACGGTGATGTAAGTTGTCGGTCGGTCAGGCCTTCCTCGCGTCGAGCAGGAAGGCGGCGGGCTCCGACTTGGCGGCGCACCCGTACTTGAAGGTGCTGTACTTGCGGTGCACCCCGGTGAGCTTCCCGCGCGCCGCCCCCTGGTGCAGCTCCACCATCATTGTGCTGCAGTCCCTGCAAACCAGTGAGCCAAACAACTGTGAGTACAAAGGCATCACTCACTCACTGAAAGCTAGTTGGTCTGAATGAAAGACAGTGTGTTTCCATACATGAGCTGTTCTTCAGAGTATTTTGTGTGCAGCTCACAGCACTTGTTCCAGGACATGCACCCGTTGAGCGTGCATTGCGCGGTGAAGATGGCCGCCGCCGCCAGCATCGACGGCTGGAACTTGAGCATCTTGTAGTCGACCAGGCTGAGCTCGATTAGGAAGAAGGAGAGCAGCTCCAGCTGATTCACAAGACGGCACCATTTGTGTCAGACAAGCAATGCACACATACAAAACAGAGCAATGATCCAAGGTGAGCTGTGATCTTACCTTCTTGTCAGACCCTGCTGCCTTGAGGAATCTTCTCATGAAGCAATATGGAGTAGGGACTGACATGTTGAATTCAAGCCTGTCAACAATCATCCTCTCCTGCAGAATTATCACATCCTAGTGTCAATTCTCTGAAGACAAAACAAGAACTCGTACCAATTGAATCGACAAAAGGTATACAACGTATAGCAGGATCGTTACCATGTCAAGAATGTCTTCCCGGGAGTAGGCGCGATCGCAGATGAGGATCAGATCCTCCACGACTGGCACACTGACCTCCTCATACTTGCATGCCAGCAGCATGGCTGTCACGCCCACCAGCTGGAGCTTCTTCCTGGCGACGTTCTCCCTGGCCAGGTATCTGTCGATGATGTTTACAGTAAGGAAAAGGGTCTCCCCCAGTAGCTCAAGCTTGTAATGGACCTGCATTGGACAATGAAACATTGGGGTTTCTAAGAACTTTCCATTCCAGAGCATGCTAAGATAAGACTACTTTGCCGAATCCATCGAGCATCGAACGGAATCCTTACCTCAATCAGCCAGTCAATCAGAATGCCGCGCATTTTCTCATTGATGTCAGATTGGTGTGCCATGTAGGTGGGGGACACACAGCTCAGCTCCTACAGCACAAAGAATTTGGCAATAACAGGTCAGGTACACAACTCTGTAGATAACTTGACCGGGGTTCCAAGCAGATAAGTTACCTCGGTCCTTCTGTAGAAGCTGTAAATTTCATCCACATATTCGACAACCGCAAGGGAGTTGCCGAGGTCGCAGCTGTCGATGTCAGGCATTTCCTCCTCTTCGGTGTCCTCCATGTCGATCTCCTTGAGCTCATTGGTCATCTGGAGTAACAACAAAGCATGGACGATGAGCGATGAAAACACCAAAATGGTAGATAGCTCGTGCTGATCGTGCAATGCTAGTTGTGTTACTCTGCTTACCATCTCATCAAGGTCATCATCTGAAGCCTTGCTGCACTCCATGTCTGAAGGAGCATTGAATGCAGTGTCAGCGTTCCTCTTCTGCCTCTCACTGCCAATTGGTGCCTGCCAAAATAAATTCAAATCCTTGAGTTGACAGTTACCTATTTTGCTCAGATTCTTGGTTCAAACAAGGCAAGTAAAATAATCTGACCAAAATCTGAGTGCAAAAGATGGAAAATCTACAGCCAATTGAACCTACATTGATATCATTCCATATATAAAAGAGAGCACCCAGTTCAGTTAGATAAGATATACTACTACTTGCCTAAATCTGCTAGAACTATATTAAACCTACATTAATGATATGCCATATAGTACAAGATTTGGCATGCTCAAATCTCTGAAGTTTTTTACTGTGTGCAAATCTGCAGATTCAGGTGTAGTAATTCAAACCATACGCAATTGCACATTTGTGTGCGCAAATCTGAATATCTAACTGATAGCAAACACAGAGTGCATTCAGGATCCACTCACCAGCATCTAAATTCACCCAACAAGTCCTAAAATTTGCACAATTGGAAAGTACAGAGATAAGAACAGCAATGCACACCCAAGACAGTATCAAAACAGCAAGGATTTTAATTGCCCATACCAGCGGGGCGTTTGCAGGCTGCGTTTGCTGCAGGATGGCGGCGAATTTCCTGGTCACCGGCCGGTGGCCGACGGCGCCAGGCTGGCTCTTGGCACCGGCGGCGGCGGGTTTTCTGAAACATGGAAACAAACTCGGAGCGATTAGAGATCCAGCTCTGAATCAAACTGGAGTTCGAAATTCTGCCATGGATCGGTGGATTGCTCACTCTTGCAAGCCCCTCTTGCTGACGGCTTGGGGCTGGTGAGGGGCGCCGAGAATGTTCTTGATGTCCCTCAGGGCCCTGCGGTTGGTGTTCGCCGCCGCCTCCGACGCGAGCTTGACGCCCTCCATGGCCGCGCCGCGGTGGTTCTCGGATCTCATGTTCTCCATTGCTGACGGAAGAGGAAACCTGCAGCAAGAGGGCAATCCAAATTCAGAAACAGGGGAAACGCATCCGCAGAAGAACTTTGAAAAAGCGGGATCTTTTGGTTCGAATCGCTGCCGATTTCTCATCAGGCGCGTGGGACGAGCCAAGAACTCTGGATTTGGCCAAGAAAGCGATGGGAAACCTCGCGAATCCGAAACCCAAACGAGCAAGAACGCCCTACTAGACTAGCCACGCTTCAGGACCCTCTGCTCTGGCACGGGAGATCCAGGAAGAAACCCCGCACGCGCCGAACCAAAAAAGGAAAGTTTGAGCAGCTGGAACTCTACCAGCACAGACCGCGCTGCCAAGAATCTGTTGCTCCAATTCGACGCAAGAACAACCGGGACCTCCAAAGATCCGCCCCAAGAACGCCAAAGAACCTACGCCGCGAGCCGCCCCGACGCAATCGCGCGCTCTGAGCTAGCGCCTCCCCCCGAATTCATCCATCCAGGCCGGAGATCCGAGGGGGGCAGCACCAAATCCGGCAAGAAACCCTCAAGAAACCCACCAAAGAACCCCATCCCCTCAAGAACAAGAAACGACCCCTCAACCCCGTTCAAGAACGCATCCATCCATCCAAGAAACGACCGTGACGGACCTCGCTGCTCGGCGACGGCGAGGGAGGGGAGGGGGAGAAGGGGGAGCTGCCGCCGCCTCTCTCTCCCAGGCTCTAGGTCGAGGGAGGGAAGTAGCTCGCCGCTGCGGCTGGTGCAGGGGAGGAGCGGAGCGGGGAGAGCGTAGGAGAGAGACGGGCGGATGGGGATTGGGATCGGGGGGAGGCAGGGGCGAGATAAAATAGGGGGCCTGCCTGAGCCGGAGCCGCGTTCGAACCCCAACGGTCGTGGGATCCGGGCCGTCGGATGCTGATCCGACGGCCGGGGAAACGTGTGGGCTGGCCTTAACGGCTAGGGGGTTCCATGTGCTTTCAAAACGGGCTTTATTATCTTCCCTTCTTGTGAATGTGGCGTCAGCTTTAAGATAGATGGAGATAGATTTCGGTGCCCATGTTTGTTTCTTTCTCCTTTTACTCGAGCCACTGGGATTTTTCGCAGGCGTGGTTTGTATTCGGTGCGCGGACGGAAATGCGCAGCGTGGTGCGACATGTGGTGGGGCGGCGTGGCATGTGGGATGGGACCAAAGGACGTTGGGTGGTTTCGTTTGCCCCGTGATGCGTCTGGCATTCGACCGTCGGAGGGTTGGCATGTACCGTAGTAGATAGACAGGGTGCCATGTTTGTTTCATTTTTTATTTAATTATTGGAATTACTGGGATTTCGTATGTGTAGTTTGTATTCGGTGCGCGGGGCGGCGCGGCGTGGGGTTTCGTGGCGTGTGGGATGAGACCAAGGGATGGCGGGCGGTTTGTTGTACTCTCGGGTGGGTCTCGGATTTGACCGTTGAAGGGTTGCCACGTAGTGCAGTAGATAGATAGGGTGCCATTTTTGTTTCCT